TATGAAAATTATATAAATTTTTTCTTACATAAAATGGCATTTTACAATTCAAAAATAATTAATAATTAAAAAGTTAAGTAATTTTCCTAATTTTGAAATTCATAGTATAGCCTCATTGTTCTGCAAATGAAATGCATTCCTCCATGAAATAATTTTTTTCAAAGTAAAATAAGTCTATCTTCTTGAAAAATTTAAAGCAATTTTTAAAAACTTGAATCTCTCACATTCAGGTTTTAAGCTGCTACACCTGAGAATTTCATGGACCATCACTCATGAAGTAGCAGAACATAGACAAATCAACATGAGGCAACCTTAATTTACATAATATTACTTCAATACTAAAGACTTTCTTGTTTTTCTTACTTAAAATATCTAATTAAAGTGTTTTTTCTTTTTATTAAAATGTGTAAAGACAAAAAACTCAAAGCAAATGTAGACAAGTATCAATATGAAATTTCTAGAGAGCTGATAGAAAAGTTGGTATGTACCAAGCACTGCTTTAAGCCCCTTGTGCAATTTAACTTATTTGTCAAAACCACTGACTAAATTGAGAACTGCGTCATTTCTAGTTCCCAGGGGAGGACACCGAGACAGGACTGTCATGAGCGTGCTAAAGAACACGCAGCAGATCTGGATCGTGACTCAGGCCCAGGGCCCAGAGTGTGTGCGCTGCACCACTTGGACTTTACAGCCCGGATGTGTCTCACCTCTCACCAATGAATAAAAGAAAAAAAGCATGGTTTCTAATTCAAGTAAAACTGAACTTTTTGTAAGCTTTTTATAATATCTTCAAGGTTATACCAAAAATGAGATTGATACAATAAAAGTTTAAAAAGTAAAAGTGGCTTAATAATGAGTTTTTATTGAAAGTTTACCATTAGCAGGCACTGTATTACAAAGTTCACAGAAATTAGGTAATTAAATACTCAAAGATATAAAGGTCAATTTAATTCTTACCTTTATTTTTGTTAGTGCATGTTTGTAGTATACAACACTTACATTCCTTACTGGGAAATTGGTACTCACACAAAACCTATGTGAGTTCATTTCTTTATCTGCTTTCTATTCCCTCTGCCCCCTAGCCCCACTGCCGCCCCGTTCCTTTCTTATTTTAAAGGTGAGGAACCCAGACACAAATGGCTAAAAACCTCATTCAAAGCTCTGCTTAACCAAGGCTTCATCCTGAGTCTGTCTCACTGGAAAGTGGAGACTCTAAACTGCCTCCCACCAGCTTCTAACTTTTCTCCACTGACAAAGCAATTGCATCAGACTGTATTGGTAGGTCTTTGTCTTCTCCAATTCGTCTTGTCCCTGTTCCTTTCTAAATTTCTGAGAGCAATGGAGACAGAAAGGTGGTCTTTGTTCCCTTATCACCTCTACTTTATCCCTCCACATTTACCATGGGATGAAAAAGAACTTAAAAGCCTAGAAAACAGATTTCAAGTTTCGTGGCCTCGGTAAGTCTTCTGACTTCTCTTTTTTTCTTTTTCCCATTTTTATTAGTATCTTTTGGCAATACACAATAGATGCACTCTTTGTGGGGGAGTGAAACACATATTTCATCTTGATCCTTTTTAATTTCTCTTTCTCTCCTTTCCCTGCCATTTCCCTCCATCCCCAGAGTAACTTCTTAGGATATAAAGTAAAGACAGATACAAGAAAACTGCAGAAAACTTCAAATGAGTGCCGCCTTCCAAAGCACCAGAGCAGAAATCAGAATTATCAGAGCTGTCACCTTATCTAAACAAGACTTATTACAAAAACTCAATTGTATATAGGATGTTGCATTTTTCCACTAGAAACATATCAGCAAAAGCTATTCTCCTTTAGAAATGATTCAATGCAGTACTTAGAAAAAAAAGAAAGAAAGAAAGCCATATCTTGGACTCAGAATATCAAGGCAAGACAGATATAAATGATATTTCCAAAATCTCACCTCCAATTGAACACCTTCGGGCTATTTCCCAGTAAACCAGACCAACGGAATAGACATCAGCTCGTTTGAAGGATTCAAAGATATTGACGTTTATTGTATCATCAAGCATTTCAGGAGCCATATACCTTAAAAAACACACATTCTTCAGATTGTCTCTATGACTTTATAGCAACCCAATAAAACAATCTTCATAAGTCCCAGTACAAACTATAAATTAAGATAATTTTCAGCAATTTTAAAGAGAGATCTAAATCACAAGAGTAGAATGAAATTAAATAATATATGGTAGTTATTGACTCACCCACCAATTTTAAAATATTTTAAGTAGAACTAGAGGTCATTCCATTCAATGCTACAGGTAGCAGGTGTGCCAGACGCCCCCGACTTGGGAATTACGAGGTGGAGGGACACTGAAGCACTCAACTGGAGAAGTGGATCTCAGTGTCCGGCAAATCGCGCTGCTGTGTGCAGCTGCTGAGGACTGCGCTCTGCCCAGCCCGCACGCCCAGCCCTCCAGCACGATGCAGGCAGCACCGCACGTTCCTTCTGTGGTGGAACCACTTAGTATACATTGTGCAAGAAAGTTACAGCCTTGTCTTAACACGACAAGTGGAAGAGATCTGTATGGCCCTAGCCCTGACTGAACCCAGCTCTCCTAGGAAGACTGGGGAGAGTTCTCAGAATATGGAAACGAGGCTGCAGCATCCTCCAAGCTCTTCGAAAAGCAGTAACTCCTCTGAAAAAATGGAGCATCCAACCCTTCCCTGAGAGCCCCTGTTGGGACAGGCAGATAAGCAAGATAACATCTGTCTTTACTAGGAAAAGAAGCAAGGTCCCTCAGGGCTGCTCAGTTTGAATAAACTGCCCAGAACATTCCTGTGACCTCCTTAAAGTCCCAGAGAACCAAGTGAAGGACGCACAGGCACAGTCCTGGAGACTCAAATCTGGTTTAGCAACCAGCTGTGACGGTCTAGAATCTTCTGCTCTGAAGGGCCTTTATCAATTTAGAAAAATAGTTTGGCTGTTGCTGGTGTCAAGGTCGCAAACTCTGGAGTTAGCCAAATTCACACAGAAGCCGCCACTCGGAACAAGGAAAAGGGAGCCGGCGGCCAGGGCGCCCCCTGGCGGCGCTAACGAGGGCAGCAGAAGCCCCATCAGCGAGGCGGCTGGCCCGACTTGTGTGTGCTTCTCGCCTCCTTCTCCATTTCTGTCATGCTTACTCTTCACTGTCACACGTTCTGTTCTTTAAAAGTGGGGTTGGATCCACACTCCTATTACCTTATACACCTCACTTTGAGAAACATAAGGATAAGGACAAGTGCGGGAGATCTAAACATTTCTACATCATCCTTAAATGCTGAAAGAATATAACAGCGCATAAGTATATTATATGGAGTCCCCTACCTGACTACTCCAAAATATTGATGCTCTAGCTGTTGTCCAGAACCTGAGCATGTAGTAGCAACCAGAGTTTCAGATCATTTATGAGGCATAAAGGCTTTGAAAGAGCTATATACTATTGAGTGTCTTTTTATTCTTTCTTTCCAATTTTTATCTTTTATTAGTAAAGTTTTGCATTCCAAAATGATTACATAGTGCTCGCTTCGGCAGCACATATACCAAAATACTTACATTCTTTGTAGGACATTGGTACGTGTACGTAGTACATCTTAATTATTTTTATGTCCCTCCCACTGTCTCTTAATCCCATTCTCAGTACAAAAACAAAAATCTCTCTCCCTATTTCCTATTATCCATCCTTTATGTATTCTTTATTTATATTTTGAGTTACACATATAAGAGAAACCATGACATTTAAGCTCGGGTGTCTGACTTATTTCAAGTAACCTTATGGTCTCAGGTGCGTCCATTTTCCTACAGATTATTTAAGCTTCTCCTCATGTATGGTGGAGAAATAAATACTCAATGGCGTGTACTGCATTTTCCTCACTCACTCATCTGTTGATGGACAGGTAGGCCTCTGCCAAGATTTAGCTACTATAATTGTGCTACTGTAGACATAGGTGTGTAAGTACGTATCACTGTACTATGATGCCTTCGACTCTTTGGGGAATAGCTGATTTCAATGGAGCACCGATGTTTAGTTTTTTTAGGAATCTCCATGAAGGTTTCCACAGTAGCTGTACTAATTTACACTCCTTTGGGAATGTACAGTGGCTCCCTTTCCCCAGCAGCCTCACTAGCCTTTGTTATTACTTGAAATATTTTTATGATCTCCATTCTTTCTGAAGTAAGTTGAAATCTCATTATTGTTTTAATTTACATTTCTCTAATAGCTGGTGATACTGGACTTTTTTCATGTATTTCTTGGCTGTTTGTACTTCTTTTTAGCGGAGTTATTCCTTTCACTTGCCCATTTTTAATTGGGTCTTTTATTTGAGGGGCCTAATTTTTTTGAGTTCTTTATATAGTCTAGATACTAGTTCTCTGCTTGAGGAATAGCTTGTAATTTTATTTCCACTCTAGATTGTCTCATCACTCCGTTGGTTATTTCCTTTACTGTGTAAAATCTTTTTAAATGTGATATGACGATAAGAAGCACAGAATTCAGAAGAAATGAATAGACTGCAAGAAACATGAAATATCACACTGAACCAAGAAAATATAAAAATCCTGAATAATCCAGTAACAGGAAATAAAATTAAACCAGTAGTTTTTAAAATTACCAAATAAGAAAAGCCCAAGTCCTAACGCATTCACTACCAAATTCTGCAAGAACTTCAGAGAAGATATAATGTCAAGATTCCTCAAACTATTTAATGAAATCAAAAGAAAAGGATTCTCAAGAGCATTCCTGAATGATACCATTAACTTTATCCCAAATAAAATATCCAATCAATGATCCCAGGGCCCCACCCAGGGAGTGTGCTGAGATGGTGA